TGACGATACCCAGCTCTAGTGTGGACAGAGGCACTCATACGTGCTACACATGACACTGAGCAACATAGTAAGATATTTATGGATGAACTGAAATAGGCCACACGATGAAAACAACAACATCTCTCTGTTCTTACCTCTGTGTAGATTATCGCAGTCATCCAAAACTTTTTGGTTGGTCTTGGAACAGACAGCATAGCCCACAGGAACACCAGTATGGGCAGGACCAGTGATATGACCGAGGCACTGACCACGTTATTCAACACTATGATGAAATAGCAGACCAGCTCAGAGTTGGCTGACAGCAGGTTGTACATGGCAAACAGCATCTTCAGCAGACGGTTCTGGCTGGAGAAAAACTCTCTGCTCTGTTCCAACTCCTCGATCAAAAACTGCCTGCAGAGACACGAGGCTGCTCAGCACCACACATGTGCACTTTTTTATTTATTCACACGAATACAGCAGGTGAAAAAGAAAGAATCTGAATGAAGGAAGAGGGAGTGGGAGAGAATACACTGAAACATGCTAGAATTGGGTACAGTAAGTACAATCACTGCCTGTGACTGTCGCTAACTTCTTTACTCAGAGTGTCCCAGCATCTACCTGTCTCCCAGCAGCTCACTGGCTGTTCTGGAGTGTCTGCCTTGCTGCTGGTTGGGTAAGTCTGGGATCAGTCCCGTACTGCTGGATGGCGGTGTTAGGATATTCCCACTGCTGTTGACGCTTAGCTTGGGGGTGCACTGGTTTATGCTATCCTCCAGGCACCTGAGACACACGCGCAACAGAAATTGAGGACAAGAAGTGGATTAATCTACAGAATTAAATCAACATCAACTATTTAAATCCTCTGGTGACCTGCCTTTTACCACTTGGATGAAACTAATCCACTGTTCATTGCTAGAGCCTCAGAATATAGAATATAAATGCTAGAGAACAGTCACATGGACCAAGCAGAGAAGATACTCTAGAATTAAGCAGCCCGTTTTATGGCAAGCACAAAGAGTGTTGAAGTAGGACAGTTCCATACATGAAGAGGAATTTCTGCCTTGGATAATACATTTATTATGGGTGAAAATGGTAGTTTTTGAGGTCATGATGACTTTAACCTTTGACAACCTACTTCTATTCATTTTATCCCCCAGTCAAAATAAAAATTTATGCCAAAATTGAAGTAATTCCTTTAGGTGCTCCTGAGAAACTATGTTCATGCAGAGGACAACTTGAAAACTGACGCCACTCCCCACCACGCCCAGAGGGATAAAAGCTACATCAAGTCAAATCCACAGGAAACATCAATGACCCTGCAAACCTGTACCTGGTAGAAGTTTCTGCATCGGTGTCGTCCAAACACGTCTCCAGGGTGCAGCTTTCACTGCCCTGAGATTCCCGATCATCTCTGGAGTCTGCTGCTGAACCGAGCTGTCATCAGAGTCACACAGACTGTGGTTAGTTTCTATGTGTTTGTGCGTGCATGCATGCATATGTACGATCCGTGTGTGCATGCACGTGCACTTGCTTGTGCATACTGCACACTCTGTTGTGTTTACCTGCTGAATCTTTTGGATGATGAAGTAGCGCTCATTGCACAAAACAGTAGAAATCTCTCTGTACTGTTTAGTCAGTAAATTAAGCCACTCAGTGAGTCCATCAACCATCGCCAGCACGATCGCCCCCAAGAAACGCAGAATATCCAAGATCCTCTGCACCGTCTCACCACGACCTGCACAGGTGAAAGACACACAACAAAGTATGATGTGAAGCCACACTGAAAAAGATTCTTATATAATTAATGCAGATTACATCAGGGCCTCAGGACTTTATGCTTTCCCTGAGCTTTGATTTATGGTGCTCGGTATTCCAGTCTTTGGGTTAATGATGTCATTCTGTGACTCGGTGGTTCCTCTGGTGTTCCTTCCTAATCTAGCCTGCATTTCCCTGCATGCATTCTCGTGAAGTAAAACACAGAAAGAAAGCCTGATAGTACACAAAACTACACAAACTGGACACAAACTACATACATGAATGATGAAACCCTTTGCAAATGGTCAAGAGCAGAAAAGCAGGGACTACGTGAACCTACCAGACTCTTGTTCCTTTGACTCCCCATCCTGAACGACGGGTTCCTCGTAATCATC